ACCATACTGAAGCTTAAAGATCAAAAAACATCATCTACTTCTTTAACCACCTACACGTCAGTTCACACAATAGAAAACAACACTCTGAGATCCTCAGTTTAAATCAGTTCTGGTATTCTGTAACTGTTAAAATTTTTCTCCCAAGAGACATTTAATTTCTATTGTCAAAATTCATTCATAAAGGATATTCTGACTTTTTCTAAGCACAATAAAAGATTTAAGAGAGCAATTACTTATGCTATAGTGTCCCACTAAATTTACAGACAACCTTGCTTCAGAGAATTCCTCTGGGCTCTTCCACACACAGGTTATCTTGCCCCTGGTAGATAAGGTCATTTTGTGTTATCAGCGTTTTTCGTTCACTCATTAATTAATTCACTCATTAATTAATTAACCTCAACATAAAATAAGAAGAAATCTGAAAATTCAGAGTAAATCTTATGAGCTGGGCGATGTGAAATACAGTATCCTCGGTGGGAAATATTCATTAGCACTGCAGGCGTTACCCGATTTCATGTGCCATCAGCATCTGCTATAAATGGGTTGGAAATTCCTGTTGCTTCCCTGTCAGTCTGGATGTGAAGGCTTCAAAAAGTAGCCCTGAACTACTCATATGCCAGAGTTTCCCCAAGTTAACCTAAAAATCCCATCCACCAAAAACTCAAATTTTCAACCCATACCACAAAGGTGTTATCTGAGAACCTTAGTCTGGGGATGAGGGATGAAGCTTCACAATACCTGCTGGGGTCAGTCCTTCTCAGGCTCAGAATTCGACAAAAGAAGGAAAGATGTGAACTTTCTTCTTCCCAAGAAGCTTGCATTCCTCACCACTTCCTGCACGTCAACCCATCTTATACAACACACACTCACCTAGGGCAACGGTTTTCACCTGGTCTGATCTTTAGAATCACCTGCGGACCTCCTTTTGCAACGTACCCAGGGCCAGACCAATTCAACACGCATCTGCGTGTGGGGCCCAATCACTGGTGATTATGCAAAGCTACCACGGTGATTTTAATCTGCAGTCAGGTTGGAAAACACTGCTCTCTCTGAAGCAGTGGTTTTGAATCAGGGGCAATTTCACCCATTCCCTACCCCCTGGGACCATTTGGCAATGTCTAAAGACATCTTTCATTGTCACAACTGGGGTTTGCTCGTGGGGAGAGCCCAGTATGCTGCTAAACCTCTTAAAATGCATACGTCAACCCATTACAACAAAGAATTATCTGGTCTCAATGTGAGTGGTGCCACTGTTGAGAAGCCCTGCTCTAAAGAACTGGGGGGAGACACAACCTGCTATGTCTCTGGAGATCCCCTGACAAAAGAAGGAAGGAAGGACTAAGAAGCTTTCAGCGGGGAGCTGAACACTCACAACCCTGACACTCCATCCACAAGGCCAAATGTAATTCTACATGGACCCAGTGTGACACAAATGAAGAGTTTCCTCATGGGTGCTCTCACTGGCTAGCATGATGATGAAGGAGAGCGTGAAGCTACTGGTCACTGGAACATGTTCTAAGTCCATAAAGTAAACGAGACCCACCAGGATAGCTAAGCAATTTTTCTTAGAAGGATGATAAACAATAAAGTAATGTTTCTTCTCATCATTCCTTCTCAGTTGCTGATAATCAGCAATATATGCCGCTAGAATTAAAGTAAAACTACTTTCATGACTTTTTCAACTAGATTCATAATGCCCAAAGGGTGAACCACTCATATGGGCTCCTGATCATCAGAATCATCTTTGCCTGGATGGTCAACAACAAACAGCTATTGCTTGAAAGACCTGAGTCCACAATGCCCGTGACCTGGGCTAAAAAGCTACCTGTTAAAAAGCACAGATCTGCCATCTGATATCTGGAAGCAAAACGCCTTGGTTTCATTGTGGGAGGGAACACTTTCACCTAAGAAAGTTTGACCCAACCTTGGATTTCAATGGGATCAGGGAAGCGAATCCCCCATTCTCCAGGAGGCTATCTATTTGGGTACATGTCTAGATAAAAGTGGCTAATCAACTACTTAATTTACAAATCTGGTACACAGCAAGTGACTTGAATGAACAGACAAACGCCTTAATGTCTAGATGTAACCATGTTAAATCTATTTCCTCTTTGCACATGGTATTCTCTGCAAATTGAAAAACAGTTGAATCATAACTTCTAAAAAAGCAAATGCACTCGTGAACACATTACTCAAATTGGAGGGTTTTTTTCTGTTTTGTCTTGGCTTTTGTTGTTTTTCAATCAGCTACTAATTTAAACATGGCTATATAGTCTTAACTATTTTAAAGAAAGGAAAAATACCCCAAATTCACCCTTATATCCAATTGGAAATTAAGTTGTTTTAACCAAAGAAAACTCTTGGATACCCAGTTCATCAGCTGCTTCCTCCACTGTTTGTAACAAGATTTAAAGATGTCCAAGGCACAGTCAACTAAAACAGTAATCGTTTTCACTGATGTTCCTTCAGTGCATATATGTGTGTCTTTTTGGAGGGAACATTACAAGTAAGACCATATTGTGCCAATACATGTTTCTTTTCGGTTTCATTCTGCCACAATGCAGACACACTTCTACCTGCTTTCATCTACTTTTTCTTCACTCAAAACCCTGCAAGTGCTCATCCAAATCACTCATTATTTCACACAAACTCCAAACAGAATGACTCTGTACATGACTCAGCAAATCTGCAATTTGGGATTTATCTTGCTACCAGTTCCTACTTGTTTCTAGGCCAATGATTCAACCGGAGTGTGGGGGGATTAAAAATATGAAAAGTCATGTCTTACCATCCATATCAAAAATTAATTTGCAACGGCAGGATACATACAGGCCCAAATTTATAGGCGGACGATCCATAAACACCTCATTGTGCCACTTCATTTTCCAATCAATTATTGAAATAAAAATGCAATGCAAATGCACTACAAATATACTTTGGTGAGGATATCAACTTCCAGAAGATTTGTCACTTAAGAATGATAAGACCTGATGTAAACGTAAGAATTAAATACAGTGTCGTTCTAAATAATGCATCTATGTTACACCAAACTCTTAATTAAATAAAATGGTTAAATTTTAAAAATCATTTGCTGGATCATGAAATCTATCTGAATCCAGGCAACAATAAGTCATGATGTAATGCCATCCTCATCTAGAAACATACCTTACTTTATGCAAGGTATTGCTTCAAAATTGCATTTGAAATCTTTTTTTGTGAGTTAAATCATGCCTTGATTAAACTAGTGGAGTTCTTTATTCAAAAGAGCACTTTGGGAAAGAAAGAAAAATTGTTTTGTATGTACACTACCTGGCCCCTAAGTAATTTTTTTTTTTTTTTTGGTTCCAGATACAAGTTTTCCCTAAAATAGTGCACATATTTACTTCTCATACTCATTAAAAAGTAATTGAGAAATGGAAAAGTCATTAACTTGAACTTTCCCGTTAACCCATTACTCCCTGAAGACAAGCTTCATGGCTAGCGGCTCACCTCATCCATGGTAACACAACTAAAGTATCTTTTTAAATGACTTTCATCTCTTGTGAGAAGTTCACAGCCAAGGCTGCCCACAGCAAACAGGGCAGCTTCTGGGCCAGTCCTGGAAAGAGTGAGTGAAGGTGCAATTAACTTAGTAAAGGCCCCAGCCAGCCAGCTAGCCGGCCAGGAGGCCTCAGCACAGGGGTGACTTGGCTTCTCCCACCTTCCACTTCCCAGCCCAACCCAGAAAGGAGCAGCATCTTCCCCACCCTCCCCAATTTCATCTGCACATAAAAGAGCACTGGATGCATTAGAAGCCAAGCTTCAGGAGTCCATTCTCAGCACCAGGAGAAAAGGATTAGGATGAAATGGGATCCAACAGGTAAATCCCCAGGTACAATATTTAAAATTTACCCCTTCATGTCACTCACTGCTCACATAGGCCGCCTCCACCACTGCTCAGAGCTTAACTGCACACAGACTCTGTAGCAGCTTTCAAATAAAGCAGAAAACCTCAGGTATATTGGATGAAAAACCCCACAGTTTATAAAACCAAACATTTTAGTTCTAACTCAACTGTAAGTAACATGAAGGGATTGAGAGGGCGTTTTGTTGAAGAAATGATTTTTTTTCCCCCTCTCTGGAGTTCAAAGTGGTTTTAGGACCAAGATGCAGGAAATTCAACCCCTTCCGAAAGGTTTAGGGTCCCGTTCGGAGCGATCTCAGCAAATGCCGTGGATATTACCCTTCGGAAACCAAAGGAGAGTCCAAATACATCTGTACATTTTCAAGAGGAACATTTAAACAACCTGGGAGGCTGTCTCACAGTGTAAAAACAGCGTGCTATTCAAAGTATGTTTAAGGGAGTCTGGGAGAGGGTGGTGGGTTTTGAGAGAGTATGGAAGAAAATCATTTGATGTGTTTCTCCTACAAAGGGAAGTCCCCCGACACATGGACAAAATCCCCGAGGTAAAGTAAGGCACATCTACAGGCACTCAGGCAACACGGCATCAAGCCTGTGAAGGGACACCATATTTCTTTTCCAATGTTACTGTTTTTCATAATAAATATTCATTTCTTTATGTACATAAGGTGTTAACTGGATTCAAAAACCTATTTTTGGTCAGCCATTGGATGAGAACCCCAATAGGAAACCGCACACACCTAGGAAAATACTCAAGTTCAAGACTGGAAATCCTTAGCTTGGTTCTCTTTTTAGCGTCAATCCCCACACATCTCACCCTGACCACTCAGAGTTCTGTGGAATTCTTGTTCCTCTCCTTCCCCTGACTGCTCATCCCCTGTCTTCGCCAGGCTTCCTTGACTGCGAACCGTACAAACTAAAACAAATCCAGGGGAAGAAACACACGGAGCCTCGGAAGCACACGGTTGCTCCTCTCCCCAACCCACCCCCCTTCCAGCAGCGCCTGCACTTCCTCGGGTGGCTGGGCAGCCCTCCATGGTTCAGAACTCTCTAGCGAGTCGCCCCAGCCAAAGCTGCTCCCCAGCACGTACTGACCCACCGTTCATGCCACTGTAGACACTCCGGTGATGGGGCGACACGTCCTCCGGCGCCTGCCTTCGGAGGGTACCCTCCCGGCTGCCTCCGCCGCTGCCTCCGCCTCCTCCGCCCACATGTTTGTGATCGGGGGTCCCCCCAAAATGTTGTTTTAGGTGCTCAGGGCTGGTGCCCCTGGCTCTGGGTAGATGCTCCAGGCTCCCACCGAGGGCGTGTTTCTGGAGATGCTCCGGGCTCCCTCCGCTGTGCCTGGCGTGTTCAGGGCTGCCCCCCGGCCTGTGCTTCTGAAAGTGTTCCGGGCTCCCGCTCAGCACGTGCTTGGGCAGCGTCTCGGGGCTGCTCCCGGGGTGCGGGTGCCTTTGCTGCTCGGGGCTGCCCTTGCACAAGGGTTTGTGGTGCTCGGGGCTGGGTCCCTTGAGTGGTTTTGGGTGATCCGGGGTCCCGGAGGCTCTGGGTTTCTGTAGGTGCTCGGGGCTGGTGCTCCGGTGCTTGGCGTGCTCTGGGCTGCCCTCGCCCCGGGGCTTCTGCAGGTGCTCTGGGCTGCCACTGCTCGCGTGCTGCTTGTGGTGGTCGGGGCTGTCGGTGCTGCCCGTGCTGGACGTGCTGCTGCCGTCGCCCACGTCCCGCACGTAGGGCGCCGTGGAGGCGGCGAGCTGGCACAGGCTGGCCTGGCTGTCGATGGAGCAGCGGCTGCCCGCGCAGCCTGCGCCCTTCTCCTCATCGAGCAGCACGCAGAGCTCCTTGAGCTCCATGTTCTCCTTCACCACCTCCTCCTGCTTCACCTCCAGCTCCTTCAGCTTCTGCAGGTATAAGGCCACTTCCTTGTGCATCACCCCCGCCGTGTAGCGGCCCAGTCTCTGCCACTCGCGGGACACCCTCTTGCCTTTCTGCCGGTCATCATCCAGGAAACAGCAGAGGTCCCTCAGCTCCTGGTTGTCCTCCTGGAGTTTCTGGTTGATATCCTGAAAAGAGAGAGAGACAACCATTCAAGGGAGGTACACAGTTGAGGCATCCTCAGGCTCAGACCTCCTGGGAGGGAGAATTGGTGAATTCTCTGTGATATTAGGGGAGGAGGTGAGAAGCTGAGAGAAAACTGAGGATTGTTGTAAGAATAACAATAACGGGTATTGGCTATGCTCCCTGCCCAGTGCTTACTTGTATGATCTCATCGAATTTTCACAAAACACTTGGAGGATAATGATTTTCATGGTTCTTTGTGGGGGCGGGGGAGGACTGGACCTCACAAAGCTTCACTTCCCCAAGGCCATCCGGCCAGTATCTAGGGAGCAGCCAGTTAATTCACAAGAAACCACTAAAAATCCAAGGATCCCCTGCCCCACTTTCCAGGAAGAAAATGGCTGCTTGGGACCTGAGAAATGCTTAAAAGCTCTGAGGCAACACACCTTCCATCAGCACAAACACAAGCACTGCCTGGTGTTCGGCCCTTGACATGGGACTAACAGCCCAGTTCCCACAGGGGACCAGCACAATTGCCCTCTAGCGACATTTCTGACCCGCACATCTAAGCCCCACTGGCTGAACCCCCTGCACATCTCCCAGGCATCCCACACGAAAACTTGAGCAATGCCAAGCTCTTTTGGGATTTTCAAAGCCCTCTCCCCAAACTGCCCCTCTCAGCAAATTCTGCCTCCACGCATCCTGCTGCCTGCCCTAAGAGCCTGGCTTATGCCTGGCGTCTCCTTCTCCCTCACCTTTCACGGCTGAACTAAACAGGTCTTCTGAACCCATTCCCATGCGTGGCAGCACCTCACTGCCCTTAGGATAAAGTGCAAAATCCTTCAAGTCTCCCAAGACCCCCAATCCTCTTAACCTGGCTTATTTCTCCCACTCGAGTGGTGGTCCACTCACTCATTCACAAGTATTTAGTAAGCACCTATTATGTGCCAGGTACCAGTCCAGGTGCTAGGGATGTATCAGCGGACACAGCAAACACCTTGACATCCTACAGCTTTCATTCCGGTGGGAAAAACTGGCAAAAGGTCAGTATAGAGCACAAGGCCGCGTTGCGAAAAGTGCTGGGAAGAAAACTAAAGTAGGCTAAAAAATACTATTTTTTAAGAGAAGGCACTTCACCGAGAAGGAAAACGTTTGGGCAAAGACCCAGGTGAAATGGGCGCCTGGGTGGCTCAGTTGGTTAAGCGACTGCCTTCGGCTCAGGTCATGATCCTGGAGTCCCGGAATCGAGTCCCACATCGGGCTCCCTGCTCGGCAGGGAGTCTGCTTCTCCCTCTGACCCTCTTCCCTCCATGCGCACTCGCGCATTCTCTCTCTCTCTCAAATAAATAAATACAATCTTTAAAAAAAAAAAAAAAAGAGACCCAGGTGAAATGAAGGAGCAAACATCTGAGGGAAGAGGATCCCAGGCAGACAGCAGGGCAAGTACTTGCCCTGAGACGAGTATGCCTGACGTCGCAGCACGGCCAGTGCGCCTGAAGCACAGTAAGCCCCCAGAGCTGAGCTAGGAGAGGGGGCAGGAGAGATGAGACCCAAGAGGGTGGGTGTCGGGGCTGGGTGATGCTAGGCCTTGGAAGCCACGGGAAGGACTCTGGATGGGTGGTGAGCTGAGGATAGAGTGGTGACACAATAGGTTCATTTATAAAGAATCACCATTGTTCTGGGTAGAAAACAGACCAGAGGAGGGGGGCAGGGGATGGAAGAAAGGGAGACGAGATAAGGTGGAAGCCAGGAGAGATCCGCGAGGAGGCCACCAGGCCAGGCCAGGCAGAGGGAGAGGGTAGCGGCGTGCGCAGATGGTAGCAGCGGAGAAGGCGGGACCTATCCCCTGACCCCCAACTAAGCCCCACCACCACTGGCCTGGTTTCAGGGCCTAAGGAACAAGCCCTTTCTCTCTTTCACTTGGAATGCATTCCCTTAAACTTCTATACAACCTAAAGGCCTCACTTTATAAGTCACTTCCCCAGAAACCGTCCCTGACCAGTAGCCCCTATCTAAAGGAAGTTGCCTTATACACTCCACCAGTACTCCTTTTATTTCCCCTCTGTGGCACTCATTACAATCACATATGGTTGAATGTGACTATGAGAACGCACCAGACTCCGGTCCTGAGCATGGAGACCCCATCTATTCTGTCCACCTCTGTGTGTCCAGAACACAGCACCCCCACTGTGGACACCTGAACCAAGGAACTTTGAAAACGCATCGTGAGGTTCCCCCTTTATTCTCCAGTCACACATAGAGTGAAGGGACTGTTTCTTGAAGCACCTTGGTTTGGTGGCGATGAACCAGGGGCGGTCATAGGGTTGCTATTGAAGATTTCCCCTGCTTTCCGAAGCCAGAAAACCTCTCTGGTCTTGGGACTCGGTCATCCAACCCAGAACTAGAGGCACTCAGACGAGACTTGATCCCCGTTCACTCAGATTCATTCTAACACTTTGCCTGATGCTGGTGAGAAAATAAACTATAAGACATCTGCCAACCACAGCTCGCATCCCCTGACAGTCTTGAGGCCTAAGATGGGAGTCGTCCTGAGGAAGAAGAGGATCTTGCGCAGCGTGGTTTTAACTCCAGCGCTAACTCTTGGCATCCTGACTATTCTGTTTCCTGGCTTCTGATGCCCACTTCTTCCTCCTCGTCATCACTTTCAGACCTCAGGTCTGGCCATTTCCAAACCCCTCCCACCTGGGCCCCTGCCTTGGTCCACCCCAACCTCTGTCTTTCCTCACCCACCCAAGTCAAGCTCTCCGTGGCCAGACGGATCTTCAAAATCACTCCCTGAATGTTCTGTCTCTCCTGCATCAACCGCACCTTCTCCCCTTTACCAGGAAGATGAATAAACCCTTTGGCCAAGCCAGGAAGGCTTTCTCCTGCCTTTCCACCTTTAGCTCCCTCTTTGCCAGCTAATCACGAAGCCTGACTGTATCTAGCTTCCCAATTAGAAAATCCCGTCCTCTTTCCTGTATGAACTTACCTAAGAGGAGAGATTCCTCTGAGAAGTCTCCCCTGGCGCTAGAACAGCTTCTGGCCTGTGGCGGCGACAACCACAAATGAATGAATGAAGTAACTTTCCCACTCACCGCTTAATGCCTCTGAGATACACTAGCTGGAGCACTCATCGGGCATCATTTTTTTTTTTTTTTCTTTTCCAATGTAGGTACCTCAGCTTCTGGGGGCAGACTCAATTCTAGAGTCATCCTCTGCGTAGCTGACACGCCCAGCATGGCGCCTTGCCTAGTAAGTAACATGTGTTTATGGACTGACCAATGCTTTAAAGCCCTAGGCCCGTGGCCAAAACAGGATATAGCTCTAGCTACTGAGGAAGGATTTCTTATTGTCTCAGTAAGCCCCTGCGAGGTTGGAGTCTATGTCATAAGAGAATAAATGATCTGTTGACATTGATGCTTTAAGGGAAATCAGAAGCTGTGGAGACTCTGAGAAAATAATACTAAAAAAAATTAATCTTTCTAAGCTTCAAAAATTATTCTACATTTAGTTTAATTCTGGCATTTTATAGAAAGTTCAAGTCATATTCTTCTCCATCTAAATGAACTTCCGTCTGAAAACACTTCCTTTTGACTATCCCATAGCTATTCCTGATTTCTCCAGAACTGGGAAATAAATAGGAGCCGTGCTACCCCGGGGCCTCGTGGGGTTAATGCCTTTCCGAATGGAGTGAACCACATACTTCCCAGAATTCCAGTTGGGGTAGAAGGGGTAACAGCCTACTTAGCTTTCTTTATCACCATGCCTTCTTCCAAGAGTAAATAATATTCTTGGGTATACAATTCTGAGCGATTTCCTTTCCCGTCTGTGGAACAGCTAAGCAACCGATTGGATAATCACCTTATAAACCAACTTCTTCCAATCTGCTACATTAAGATTTGGGCTTTCTTTTTCAAAACACAAACTGTTCTTTTAACATTGCCACTGGCCACCAGATGTTATCCATCTGTCTAAAGGGGACTTTTAAAAGATTCAATCCACCTCATAGCATACCACTCAAATTTTCATACATAAGATTCTCAAGTACTCTATCTGTGGTAAGAATTGTTCTAATTTGTAATTTTTCTTCACTGCAGGGAGGGGGATTGGTGTGTTGGGGAACAGAGAGGAACATTAATGTGATGCATAACAAATCTACAGATCCGGTTCCCCCAAATCTGCCCCCTTGTCCCCTGAAATCCCAGGCCGGAGCAACCTGAGCATTGGTATATGCTCAGCAGTGCACAGACATGGTTCTCAGAATCCAACTCCTTATAACATCAGAACCAGAATCCCCTTTCTGCACCCTTGCAGGATCACACATTCTAAGCAGAGCATGTCAACTAGCTGAAAGAAAAGAAAGCCAGCCTATTTTAAACATTGAATATCTGTGTGACATTGAGAAAGCTATTTAACCTCATCTATGGATCATTTAATCTTCATCAAACCTCTTACAGAATTAGCATCACCATTTAGCAGATGAGAACACTGAGGCTCAGAGAGGTTACCAGCTTGCCCACACTGCCCAAACTGTCAGACTCCAAATCCTTTATCTCTCCACTGTCCCGCACTGCTCCACGTCTGAAACATTTAAACGTAGACAAGTCAGCCTGGGCTGGGACCCCGGCACAGGCGCCTCCACAGAAAGACTTAGCGCTCCCATCCCCCATCTCTACAGCTGCAGTACCACCTCGTAGCCTTGAAAAGATTTCTTGCCATTTCAAAAGCAGATCACAGAAAGGAACATAAAACAAGAGAAGTGTTGTGGCCTTCATTACCCTAAATGTACAGTCCTCAACTGGGAGTCCCAAACCATCAGAGCCGAAAACAAAACCCCAAATCCTCCTTCTAGTTAAGCCAAACTAAGTAAGTGCACGTATCATTTACTCAGTCAACCACATAATGGATCAGGAGGGTGTCCAGGGATGTTCTGGCCAAGATGATGGATAGAAGGGGGAACACTGGCCGCTCAGCAGGGCTTCACCACAACCCCTCAGGGGTGGGCCAGAGGCCTTGGAGGCTACGATGTTGTAACTGGCCAGGGATGACAAAAAGGAGGAGTAGAGGCTGCGTCAGAAAGTGTCCAGCCCCACCGTTCTGAACTTGGTAAGGAGGTGGACAGGAAAGTCTTTTTAAGCCAGGTCATGAATCTAGACCCCCAGGAGATTTTCCTACTTGGGGTGAAACTGCCCTTAGCTGACCTAATAGGTATTTCTCTAAATGAAGCTACTAGAAAGACCAGGCTCCCCCACCTAGCTCCCCTCCCCCACATAGCTCCCCTCAACACACACACACACACACACACACACACACACACACAGTCCACACAACCCAAGGGAACCTTCAAGTATTTCTGAACTATTATGTCAATGCCCCATACTATTAAAATCCTTAGGAAATTGATTAATTACTTAATTGAAAACTCTTCCAAGTTACCTTATAGTTCAAACCATGGAAGAAGATTAAATTGGAGGGTTATGAACTATACCTTTGTCCAGCTTTGCCTAAGAAACCCAATCCTGGAGGTGTAGGCCTATACATTTACACGCCCTCTCCTGATGACAATCTCTACCGTTGTTTTGTAATCAAGTCCAGCATTAAAGCTTCTCCTACATGATCCTAATGTCTTGTTGCAACCCCCTAGGAGATGGTTATTATCATTTGCATTTTATTGACGAGTAAAATGAGGTCCTGATAAATTAATTACCCAAGCTCACCCTCCTTGGCAAATGAGGATTCTAGATGCAGACCCACCTCTGAGATGATCTTCTCACTACACTAGCCTATCTCTAATGCCCCAAGAGTCTGGTACTTAATAAATACTCCACTGGTAATGAATTAAACCAAAGGAGAGTGGCAGTCTTGGGATTCTTCTGACTGTGGGATCTTTCTAACTGCACCCACTCTAGGAAGTAGATGACAAGTGCGTTGGGGCCCCAGGGAAGGCAGTCTCCACCTGCACTGGACCCAGCCCCCAGGTGAGCATCTCTTTGCCCCAGAATCCCAGAGCTGGAGGCTGAGGCAATTAAGAAAGTGTCTACAGCCTGGAGAATTGGGGTGGGAGTGGAAGGGGACAAGAACAGCATGTGCCTGCAGGAATTTGCTCCCTGATGTCCCTGCAGTGTTTTCGTGCGTGTCTGGCTTCCTATAAACAAAAGCAGAACAATGAGAGGAAGGAATACCAGCAGGCCCCAGCACAAGCAGCGAGGAGAGGAAGCTGGCGGTGCTGTGCGCGCTGGCAGGGCGGATCCCGGCCCATCTCCTACAGCCCCGCTAGCAGGCCCACGGGTCTCACACTCAGAGCTCTCCAAGGAGAAAAGAAGTTGATGGGGCTTTGGCTTTCTTTTTTTCTTTCTTTTTAATTTTTTTTCTTTTTTCTAATAGCAAAGAGGGAAGGTTGGTTCATAAAGCAAAGCATCAGTGGCTGACACGTGGGGTGGTGCCCTCAAATCCCCTCCACCAACTCAATGCTAGATGAAATTATAATCAAATTGGGGGTGAAGGGGAAAGGGGGTCAAGGAATCCCAAATGACGCCATCTAAACTGGAGAGAAGGAAAGCGCAGGAGCAGGTAGAAAATGTGAAGGCAGAGCTTAAGCTCCTCTGCACTGGGTGACATACACCAGCTGCGAAGGTGGCGCCCGCGACTTCTCCCTGGGCACCCCGCCAGCCCTTCTCCCCAGCATTGGCGCCCTTTCCTCATCCGCCGGAGAAGCCGTGGCTCCGGGGCACCGGTATCCACGATCCCCAAGGATGAAGATGCCCTGGACTCGCTCCCTCGATCACCCTTTCCCCTACCTGTGACCCGGCTCCCCAAACCACCGATTTTCCAGGCTTCCTAGGAAAATAAAGGTTCTGCATGCCCATCACCTCCCTCCCTTCTTTTCAGCATCCTCGGCGCCCTCTCCTCCGGCCACAGAAGATCCCAGGTGATGGCTCCACACTGGCTCTCCCCAAACAGGGAAGAGGAGACCAATCACTTCCAAAGTTCGGAAAAGTTTCCAAAGGGCTGGGGATGGGGAGCAGGGGGTACTGACCGGGAGAAAGGGGAGGATCACCTGTTGCCGGAGGGAGGGAAAGTTTGCCCCGCCCCACCACCCCGGAGCGCCCCGCTCCCCGCCCGACCCCGCGCTCACCTTGAGCCCGCGGATCTCGCCGAGGTGCAGCTGCAGGCGGCGATTCACCTCGCGGATGAGGTTGCTATGGTCCAGCATCGCGCTCACCTTCTCGGCCTCGGCGCGCCGCAGGCTGCGGATCAGCTCCTCCTTGCTCCACTGCAGCAGCTCCTCGTCCGACACTTTGGACAGGTCCTCCGCGGTGGCGGCGGCGGGCGGGCCGGCAGAGGCTGAGGGACAACTTTCCGCCGCCGCCGCCGTACCTCCGGCCGCCTTCGACATGGTATCCGCGCGGTGGCAGGTGCGAGTGGGTGGAAGAGGCAAAGCGACTCCCGAAGGCGCGGGCGCGGCGGGGCCGCCTCCGCCCACACCCCTGTGCGCTCCGGCGAGTCAGCTGCACCGCCCGGCGGCCGCTGGGTTGGGGCGGCAAGGGTCGCGCTGGGCGGCCATCCTACCTCGCCATCCCCGCGCGCGCGCCCGCGCACCCCCAGGACCGGGCAGTCACCCGCGCGCTGCTGCCGAGGCGCGTCCCAACTCGGCGCACGTCCATGGTGAGGGGCGCCGGGGAGCTGGCGCCGCCGCGGGAAAACCTCGGGGAGCGGCGGGGGCGCCCGGGGGCCGCGCCCGGGTTCCCCTGGCCTCTCCTCCGCTCCGATTCGAGACCGTCGCCCACCACACTCTCGCACACACGCACACACGCGCGCACTTTCCTCCTCCTCGCGGAGCTGCAGCCCCGGCCTCACTGCGCTCCTAGGCGAGCTAGGGCGCGCCGGCTCCTCGGCGCCTCCGGGGTTGCTCGAGCGACGCCGCCGCTGCTGCCCGAGTGCTCGGCGCGGCCCGCCGGCTGCGCTCCTCCCGCCGCCTTCGGGGCGCCCGCCGCCGCTCCTAGGCTGCTCGGGGAAGCCCGCGATTTGCAGAGCTGAGCCGAGCCGAGGAGGGGTGGAGGGTGGAGGAGTAAAGGCTGGACCGGCAGGAGGTGGAGCCTGCAGCCGGGGCCGTCCGCAGCCGGCCGCACCTCCCGCGCGGACCGGACGCAACTGCAGCTAGATCGCCTCTCGAGCTCCCGAGGCGCGCTCCCCGCTATCCCGCCGGGGAAGGCCGGGGGCGCGGCTCCTCCAGCGCCCGGGCGCGGGTGGGGCGGGATGCGGGAGAAGCGTGAGAAGCTGTGCGGCCCGGGCTCTCGCAGGCTCGCGCGCGCCACCATGTGGCGGAAAGAGCTCCCTCCTCCGCCCCCTGCGCGACAGGCTTGTCACCTTGCGGGGCAAACAACGGGCGACCAAAATGAGAGACACTTGGTATTTGCAGGGATTAGAGGTCAGGGGAGATGATGATGATGATGATAGATAGATAGATGATAGATAGATAGATAGATAGATAGATAGATAGATAGATAGATGATAGATCTGATGATAGATAGATGATAGATGATAGGAGGACCTGGGGGATAACTGTCGGTTTCTACTTTGGAGAATGGAAGAAAAGGTCGATGGCCTAAAAAAAGTGTGTGTGGGGGGGGTATAGGTAAAGGAACCTTTAAGAAAATCCCAGTGCTCTGAAAAGAGGAAAGGCTTTGCTTCGGGGCACTACTCTTTAGGGACCACCCACCCCCCAGGCCTTTGTCTTTTCTAAAAATCCACTGCTTTGTGAAAAAGCTTCAGGGGACAGTATTGGATCTTTTAAAGTTTTATTTGAAAAACATCAAAGCCTTAACGGGAAAATAAAATACCTTCACCTCCAGGTTCCCCAGGCCTGGATTTTTAAGGTCAGCACAGTCACCTCCCCTCTGAGCAAAGGACAGCCTCTTAAGCAGCCGGAACTGCCTGCCTGGGACATTTCCATTTTCCTCCTGCCGCAGGCAGTCAGTTCTTTTGGGGTTGGCTTTTTGAGATGGTAATTTCTGGAAGTACGTATTCCCTGTCCCTGGGTCCTATGTTTGGGCTACAAAATTCCCTTTCCCACCTCCCCAGTTCTACCCTCCCGTTGCATGGGATCAAACCTGAGCTGAAAGCATCTGTTTCTTGCTTGAAGAAGTAGATGCACTTGTCCTGGGCATGTCATTTCAATGAATACTCCTCTCCAGGATGGAGACAGGGCCAGAAAAGTGCAGGAACTTACCCCCCGCCCCCCCACAGCGCTTCCGAAAGCCAGGCTGCAAAGGGAATAATCACCTGATAGGATGAAGCTCTGAATCAGAGTCCCTCCACCAGCAGGTCACTGTGCGTCCCTTAATAAGGCTACCACCTTTTAACAGACAATCGGATGGGGACTTCTGAGACTTAGCTTCCTGGAGAGCAAGGAAAGGGGGTGCAGCCCTCTGACCTAGATGGCCTTGAAGTTCCCCTCAGCTTGACTTTAAACTTTAGACAGGTTTCTTCCTGACTGTAGGTCCCTGACCTCCCTTTTCTTAGAGCCCTTCCTTTAGAAAACTTGCACTTGTGAATTTCTTTCTCTGCTGCCTTGAATTGTAAATCACCTCCCAGGTTCTCACCACCCAGGAATGTCCTGCTTCAGGACCTGGGAGCCAGCCCTTGGAAATATAATTATCACGGAAGATAGCCCCCCAATCTCTCCATCTCTCTGAAAGGTGAGGAGTCTAACTCCACTAAGTGTCAAGTAGCAAACGTAAATGGTCTAATCACCCAACTCCCCCCCACAGCCCTTCCCATTTCCAGTGTTTTCCAGTACTTTCCCAGTAGCCCTCCTTGGGGGCTTAAAAACCCTACTGCCTCTTAGGGTCCTGGGTAGCTTAGTCCATTAAGCATTTGGCTCTTGATCTCAGGGTCTTGGGTTCAAGCCCCACGTTGGGCTCCTGGCTGGGCATGGAGCTTACTTAAAAAACAAAACCAACAACAACAACAAAACACCCTCCTGCCTTTTATGTCAGAGGAGTTGAATTCAGTCTCTCTCCCCTTGGGTTTAATTACAACAACTGAAATTTGTCTTTGACACCTCCTCTACTCTCACGTAGGCAGAAGGCTATCCTCAACACAGTTCCTGAGACCTCTTTTGACACAGGAAGAGAAAATACAAGTTAGAAAAATATGAGTCCTGTTCCTGTCCGTTGTTAATTTGTCTCCTTGAACAAATCATCTCACCTTACTGGGCCTCAGGCAGCTAATAAGGTAATGGACATGAAGCGCTTTGTCAAGTTACCTACAGAAATGCTACTTTGTTACGACTAATAGTATATCTGCCAGCCCACTCTCTGGAAATAGGAACCACAGCATCTGGCTGGTTTTTCCTTCCACCAGGTTTGTTCTTTAAGAGTCCTGTTCCAAAATGCAAAGGCCAGCACCCTTTGCTGTTAACACTCTCAGATGTTTAACACCTAAGCAGCTATTAAAAGGCAGATACACGGCTGAGAGGAGGAATAAGACGTGAGTTGAGAAGTCAAGGGAGAAAGAAACCAAAGAAAAATTTTCCACAAACTTATATACACTAGCAGCTACTTACTACTGGGATAGATCACCTTGATGAAGTTTTGATGTTTCTAATTTTGGTCATTGATTCAGGATAATTAGTGAATGAATGATGTTGCTTCATGTTGCTAAGGTCATGTGTGGTATCGGGAACTTGGTTGCTAAAAACAGACAACTCAAAAAACAATCACTTAAAGAAGGCATTTATTTTCTCGCACATAACCGACATTCAGTTGAGGGTTGGTATGATGTCTTTATGATATCATCAAAAACTTAGACTCCTGGAGCGCCTGGGTGACTCAGTCAGTTAAGCAACCGACTCTTGGTTTTGGCTCAGGTCATGATCAGGTCGTGAAATCAAGCCCTGCGTTGGACTCTGTGCTCAGTGTGGAGTCTGCTTAAGATTCTCTCCCTCTCCCTGGGCCTGTCCCCCCACTCACACTCTCTTTCTCTCTTGAATAAATAAATAAATAAAATCTTAAAAAAAAAAAAGAAAGAAAAACTTGGACTCCTTCTTTCTATTCAGCCATCCTTAACATGATTGCCTCCTGGCAACAAGATGGCTGCTGGAGTACTAGCCATCCATCTACATCTGGGGCAAGACAAGGATAGGAGCAAATGGCAAAAGGACATGTGCCCCTTTAAAATGTGTTCCTAGTAATATGACCCAGTGAATCTCATTTACATCCTAATAGCCAGGGCTTCCATGTAACCACCTCCCACCTACAAGGGAAGTTGGAAACTTTTTAAAGCTAAGCACATTAGGGGTGCCTGGGTGGCTTAATCAGTTAAGCATCTGACTCTTTTTTTATATATTTTATTGAGAGAGAAAGTGTGCAAGCAGAGGGAAGGGCAGAAAGGGAGGGAGAGAGAATCTCAAGCAGACTCACCGCTGAGCGCAGAGCGTGATGCAGGGCTTGATCCCACAACCCTCAGATCATAACCCGAGCTGAAATCAAGAGCCAGATGCTCAACCAACTGAGCCACCCAGGCGCTCCAAGCATCTAACTCTTGATCTCAGTTCAGGTCTTGATCTCAGGGTCGTGAGTTCAGGCCCCTGTTGGGCTCCACACTGGGTGTGGAGCCTACTTGACAAAAAAAAAAAAAAAAAGATAAGCACATTAATGCCACAAGTAAAATCAGAGTTGCTTTAATAAGAAATAAGAAGACAGATATGTGATGGACAGCTAACAGTTTGGTATGCAACCCTGGCAGTAGATTCTGCATACAGTATATGGAGGTATCTAAAAACCAGCCATAAACGACCCTAAATCCTTGAGCCCTGATGGTTTTCTCTCCTCTGTTGTTTTGAACCACCTCTGTTCCATCCACCACTCACTATTGCCCAGACCAGGCTCTCACTAGGTCTCAGCTGATCTTCCTCACTTGTCCCTCTGACACCAGCATCACCTCTCTTGAATCTGTTTTCCACACAGCTGCCGCAGTGAACTATCTACAAAGTCAAGTCCAGCTGCTTCACCTCTAATGGAGACTGAATCCTTGCTCAGAGTTCTTCACAGCCTGCCGGTATGATTCAGACCACTCTCTGCTTGTGACTTTGCAGTAGGTCCCACGGAGGAGGCAGAATATATCTTCCCTCCCCAGGGATATTGTGCTTGGCTGTGGGCTGGTGTTGCTAATGGAATGTGGGTGTACTTGAGGTGGATCCCTTCTGTTTGTCCCCTCACCGTCCTGTACTTCCACATGTCACTGACAGAAGAGCTGACCTTGGGCAGCTGCTGTTCCTTCGGTCTCCACCCAGTGCCACCCCAGGCATCCTACAGACCCTCACCCTGAAGTAGAGCCTCCTTCCCCTCGCAAACTCTCACATCTCTGTGCGAGAGTATGTGACTGCTATTTAAGCCCCCGAGTTTTGGCCAGATACATCATGCAGCATGAATGCCATAGTTAGCAGGTACAGCTCCCCTGCCTAAATCCCTTCAGTGGCAACTCAGTACCTCTCCACGGAACAAAACCACATTCCTTAGCAGAGCGCATAAGATGGGCGCGGTCTGGCCCTTGCCTCCACTCCCATCACACCTGGCCTCATATCATACTTTATCAGTGCCAAACTGCCCAGAGATCCCCATCAGCAACTCTCCATACCTTTGTGTCCCCCGATACTATTCTCTCATGCGTGGAAGACCTTCCCCGCCTTTATCCCCTGGACGAATCCCACTGGATCCTTCTACCAGCCTCGTCTCCTCCAGATCCCTGGCATCAGCCATACTTCTCCAATGAAGGCAGAAGTGAGTATCCCTCTCCACTACCATAACCTCCAGCGTATCTCTAGCCCAGCACCTAAAACAGAATAGTGAACTACAGGAAATTACAGGTGGAAGCTCATATTAACCCAGCCCAACCCCAGCAGAATAGTTTAGCTCTAGGTAGAATTTAATATTATCCCTTTTTCACTTTCTCCAAACCCTGTGAATTTCTGTCATGCCCTATGAAACTCCTCGAT